ATCCTGTGTTACACAGCAAGGACTGCAGGGCCTCTTTCCTGTCCCTGGTCCAATCTCATCTCCAGGCAGTGTATCACTGGGTACTGTCCACTGGAGCCTTGGACTTGTTTGAAGGCCAGTGGGCACTGTCTGGTGTGCTCTGCTGGGTGTCCCCCCTTGGCACACTAGCTTTAAACCTTTGATCTCACTCCCATCCCTATTATGTCTTTAGTTGTCCCCAGAAATCAGCTGTTGCCTACCTACGGGCCTTCCTCTCTAAGGGATGCTTACAGTGTTTCTTTGAGGGTACTGCTGCATGTTCCCTAGGCAACAAATAAGCTTGTCACACAGCAGGGATTGCAGTCACTTTCCTGTCCCTAATGCAATCTCATCTCCAGGAAGAATATCACTAGGCAGTGCCAACTAGCTCCTTGGACTAGTTTGAGGGCCAGTGGGCACTGTCCAGTATGTTCTGCTCAGTGTTCCCCCTTACCACACTTGTTATTAACCTTTGACCACTCTTATTCTTGTTGTCTTTAGTTGTCCCAAGCAATTAGGTGCTGCCTTTCCAGTAGCCTCTATGTTTAAGGGAGACAGATAGTTTATTTGGTGGGCCATGCCCCACGTGTCTTCTAAGGCAGCAAATAGGCCTTTGTCACACAGGCAGAGTGGAGGCTGAAAGGGAGAGTGAACTAGGTATGGCTAGGGGTTTTCCCATCACTCTCTGCTACTTGCATCCTCCAGCATTTAGGCTGCATGTCTTATTAAGTTGAAACATGGCTTATCCACCGTTATAACTGCTGTATCTAGTTTGGGGCACTACATATGAAGAAAAGCACAGCTGAATTGCAAGGACCATGCAAGACAACTAAAGCAGTAAGTGGGCTGGCAAGGACAAAACAAAAGAAGAGTGGCAAGACGAGGGCAAGTCCCTTCAAGGAGCTGTTTTGCTGAGAGATGGTGACAGGTCGCCCCTGAAGTATTTACGGCCATGCCCCTCAACCTTCCGAGGCTCAAGGCCTCCCAGGAAAATGACAGCATTCAGGTCTCACTCAGTTTTTGGAAAAAAAGGAGTACATGGAGATTGTTTTTAACTGCAAGACAGAAGAGGGCAGAAAACTAGATTCTACTAGCTCCTGCTTCGGGTCATGTTTGTTTAAGTAGGCATGCTATCATTTAAGCTACTTAAAGAAGTACACAACAGGTCCTTTCTAATGTTTCTGAACAAACTGTCTCTTAATTCCAGAGCTTCTGGATCAAATACAAAGGTTAGGGAAAATGTCAAGTTATATCCTGTCTTTTTTTAACTCTCCATTTAGGTATCATTTTAGTGCATGACTTAATCAACAAAAAGTCCTCTCAAAACTTGTATTGCTGGTCACTGGAAGCCCTCAACAGGGATGTGGTTCCAACAGAAGTTCTTGTGACAAACAGGTGAGTTTACACACACACACACAGCCCTAAATATGCACCTGGGGCTATCGTGTCATTGTTCATCTTTGGTCATTGCTAAGGGCATTCACTTGAACTCTCCAAGACATTTTACTGAGTGCAGAGCTCTCAGGCAGGGCTCTAATGTGGAAGGATCAGAGCCAGGGGACTGCAGGAGAACAAGCGCAGTTTCTGTTGTATATGCGGAGCAGGCCTGGCTGCTGCTGGGCTCTCCAGGGGTTTGGCAGTGGCCTGGGTTTAGAAGAACATGTCCACGTGCTTTTCATGCCATGCTTCCCAGGCCGCATGAAAATGACTTCACTCCCTGGTGCCCTAAAGGAGGGGTCGCCAACCCATGGCTCACAGGTTTTGTCGATCCTGCATGGGCCCAGTCCTCCAAAGCATGGGGGCGGGTTCCAGAACAAGGCTGAACCAACTAGAACCCCCCCGGGGGGTTCCACAACGAGGCTCAGAGCCACCTGGAGCTCCCCTCGCCCAGCGCCCCACCCCCGGGCATCTACACCCCGAGCGTGGATCGCAGCCATGGGTTCTACACCAGCTCCGCCCCCTGCCACGTCACGGCATGCGTCACTGCGCCCCCCTCCCCCGCCACCAATGCCCAGCGGGGGGGAGAAGGGTCCGGTACCTGCGCAGGCCTAGGGTGATAACGGGAACTTCCCCCCAACTACTCACCGGAGTCCCCCAGCACCAGCACCTTGACCCTGTCCAAGGCAGCCATCTTAGCCTGCCTAGCAACAGCCTCTCACCACGCCACCCAATTGCGAACTAGCTCTCCACCCATTGGCTCCACCTCTTTCGCTTTCCATTCGCCGAGGCGGGGAAGGGGCGGAATCAAAGGAGGCTGTTGCAGACAGCGATTGGTTTCCTCCTCCTGTCCATCCACGATGGCGGGCGGGCCTCTCCCTCGGCCGTTGGCGCGCCGAATAGGCGCTTTCGTCACAGGCGTGCGACATCGCCCGCGTGCGCCGCGAGGAGTTCGTGACGCACATTGCCGGAGACTGGGGGAGGGGGCGGCAAGCACCGCCCGAAGCCGGCAGGTCAGTCCCGCGCGCGCGGCGCCAGGCTCTCCCCTCCCGACCTCCCCCGGGCTCCTGCCAGCTACTGCGCAGGTGCATCCGGAGCCCGCCCCTCCCGCCGGGCAGCGGCGGGGTCGAGGTCTGGGTCCGAGCGTCACGTGCCTGGTGCGAGAGCCTCCCTGGCGGGCCGCTCGGACCGCCCACGCGGGCGCGGGGTGGGGGGTAGAGGGGTGGTGTCCCCCGGGCCTGGGCCCCCCCCCCAACCGCTTGAGGGGGGCGGCTGAGGAGCCAGTGGGAGGCGGAGGGGAGCGCGTCTGTTGGCACCTGTGGGAGGAGGGGCCGAGGCAGCGCGGACTAGCTGGGCACCTGCCTGGCCCCCGTCCCCACACACCCTGCCCTGTGCCGGCATTGCCTGCCTGGGCCACCGTCGCCCTGGGGTGCTGCTGCTCCCTGCACAGAAGCCGGGAAGGTGCCTCAGGTCCAGCCTTGCAGCCAGGACGACTCTGGAGGCTTTTGTCTTACGTGGGGGGTGCAAGAGGAGCCAAGGGCAGTTCTCTTGCACTGGCTGCGGGTGCATGGGGGTATTGTCTTTTGGGTCATAGACAGTAGGTCATAGACCATAAGGGCTGGAAGGGACCTCAGGAGGCCATCTAGTCCAAAGCTCTTCTGAATGCAGGACCAGCCCCAACTAGATCATCCCAGCCAAGGCTTTGTCAAGCTGGGTCTTAAAAACTTCCAACGATGGAGCTTCCACCATCTTTCTGTGTAACCTGTTCCAGTGCTTCACCTTGCTGCTGCCCCTGACCCACAGTTCCCTCCCCTACTCCTCGGCCATGCTGGTGCTCTTCACTCAACCCGCAGTCCCTTGGTGCTGCCAGTGCCCCACAGCCAACCCAAAAGCCCCCCCCCCCATGCTCTCACTTCCAAGCCACAGTGCCCTCCCCCCAGCCCTGCTGGTGCCCCTCACTTCTGGCCTGCAGCCCCCTGTTCCCCCCAGCCTTCCTGGAAGGGCCCCCCATAGTCCCTGTCCTGACTGGGCCAGATCACTGACTGATTAATGTGGGTGACAGTGGAGCATGTCCAGCCTCAGCATCGGTGGATGGGGGGGAAGAGGAGGGAGGCCTGTAGCACCCCCTGCCTTGGGCCATGGCTCCAGCACCAAGCCAGGCAGCCTAGCCATGCCTACCCCCTGCAGCATCTCCTGGCTGCCCCGTCCCTGTGCCACCAGCCTAGCTATGGAGCTCCATGCTGTGCTCTTCCCCTGCTGGAGGGGTAGGCAACTTCCACCTGCCCTGCCACAGCCCCAGCCCCAGCACTTGGACACCTTCCCCCACCTCACACACCCATCACTCTGTACCCCCC